CCGGCACGCCGAACCACTTGTTGGCCGCGGCAGCACACATCTGCGCAAAGACATACCTCGCGTAGGCTGGCGGAATAGACTGCGCCACCCTCTCGAACTCCATGTGCTCTGCGTCTAGCCCCATCGCGACTGCGTTTTCGGCCGCTGTCGATCGGTACGGTTTCCGACCAAGGGGCGCCCACATATTGCCGCCACAGCACGCTGGTAATTTGCGCCCGAACTGGTCCCGTCTCGGCCAGCGGCTCCTCGCGCCCAGACAGCATCTCTCTCGCAGGGCGCCTCCACTCGTCCTGAGCGCCCGGTCCACGTGCACAGGGAAGTTCGTCTCAAAAAGCCTCGAGCGAAAGACCCGCAGCCCAAACATTGGGCCGTCTAGCTCGACGGCGCTAACAGACATCGCCGTCTTGGCGCCCATCACATTCTCGATCGACCAAAACTCGAAGAGGCCCTCGAGCGTATCTCTCGTGCGGTCGATGAGTGGCGGCTCCGTCGCCGCCAAATCCCGCCTCCGTGCGGTTGAGTAATATTTGCACGGTGGTGAGCACATGGCGAAGCGCACCCCCCATCGCCGTCGTAGCTTGTCCATGAAAGCCCAATCCGTGCAGTCACCACACTCGAAACTGGTCTCGCCGAATCGCCTCACGTAATCCGGCATGGGCCGAAGGTCCGCCCCGTAGCTCGCGCCCCCGGCGCGCCTCGTTCCCTCGGTGGCGCCTCCTCCACCGCAAAAGCCGTGCAGCACGCCGGGACTCACCCCGCTCTGCACTCGGCGTAGTACATCAACATACAGTCCCCACCATTGAAGGACCGCCTCGGCCCGCGCAGCCTGCTCCGCAAACTCGTCGGCGCCGGCTAGATTCGTGCCGCCCTGACACCGGGTCCTTGCCTTCCGGCGAAGGCACCATCCCAGAACACAGCTCTTTGTCTTTGAGATCCACCTCCCCCTCTCGCCGGGGAAAAGGATCCTGCTCGCCCGCAACAGAGCTTGTACATACCGTACGGCCGCGACGGCCCTCGGGCCGAACAACTTCCGCCCACGCTGGCGTGTCCGGCGCCATCTACTCTGAATCTTGGTGGCGGCGGCTTCACCGTCGGCTGAGTCGACAAAAGAAAACCTGTCACCACTCTGCCCGACAGCGTCGTACTCGCGCCCGCCTGCAGTCCTGTCACCAATCTCTGCCGCCTCTTCCAGAGATCGAGAGGCGGCACTCGACTCGCCCTTTCGCGCTCGTTGCCATGTGTGCTGGGTCCCGATCGCCGCGGGAGCGCCGCCGGCAAGCCATCCGTGGCAGTCTCCGCCATGGCTGCTCTGCCCGTAGCCGGCGCCACCCTCGCGCTCACCGTCAGCCCCATCGTGTTCGTCTCTTGGGTCACCCTGCGCGTGAGACGTGCCCGCCGTCTCTCGATCGCTACGACTGGAGGTTCGTCCGGCCATGTCCCATCCGGTCTCCATGTGCGGGCCACTGCTCTTCCAGGAGAGGCGAACTTGTAGCCGCCCCGCCTCGGTTCGCCGTCGAGGCGAGCGAGGTTGGGGGCGGCCGACTCTGCAGCCGAGACTGCTCATGCCCAGAGGGGCCAGCCACCGCCAACGGCGGTGCGGCCTCGCGGTGAGCGAGGGCCTCGGTGGCGGATGCTTTGCATAAGTGGTGGGAAGCGCTGCTGCTATCCAACGCAGCGCTGCCCAATGAGGCGGAACTCTCTCCCAGAAGTGTGTCGCGGGGGAGGTCATGGACCCTCTGCCAAGGCGCCGGGCGGTGTTCGCCGGCGCCTCCGTTGAGCAGTGAGCCTGGGGTTGGGCGCGGGTCGGCCAGATAGCCGGCGGTCCCCACGAGATGAGCCGCCGTGCCGAGGTCCGCGCCCCTCCTGGAGGGTGAAGGCATGCCCGCGGTAGTGGGCGTTGCCTGCGTGCTCCAGGGTGTACTGGGCTCCACCCCGTTATGCGCAGTCGAGGGGCGGTGGCCCATCGGCCGGCGGGGTGGAGCTCCGATCTTGTTGCTTGCCCATCGATGCTGCGTCGGCCTTGCGGCCGGGCTATGCGCTCGAAGGGGAGGGTGGCCGTAGACGCGGTGGCGTCCAAGCCCGGTGTTGCTAAGAAGTGCTGCCGCTCACGCGACGGGTCTTACGCTTACGTTTACTCAAGGGGGGGGCTGGGGTGAATACGACACTCTGTCGCACTCACGGATTGAAGTCAGGAGCCTGTCGGCGGCCCGAGACTGAACGACAGGGCCTCGCTCTGGGCCCTCACACGACTCTGTGTGGCGTTCAGAGAGTTCGTTACACAGTGGGACCGCCCGTCCTCCTCAATTCGATTATCGGGACCCCCGGGGGTCGTTACATGCGCCTCGTCATCTCCGTTGCGAGCTCCATTTGCGGCTCCAATCGCCCCAAGTCACCGCGGAGGACTTGTCCAAAACCCTCCTCCGCGACACTCAGCTAGAGGAGCTTGTTGAAGCCAGCCCGCGTTGTGTGCCTGTGTGTATGCATATGCGTTTGGAGACTCACAAGTAGGTCCTCTGCGCGCCACGGATTGGTCATCGTCCTGGCGCGTCCCGTGAACGCTCGCGGCCCATGCGTTCTAGCATGCGAAATATTCTTGTGCGATATCTTTTTCTCGCGATGTCCACCCCACCGCGCCGCCGCTCGCGCCGCCTCGCCCCCGCCGCCGCCGCCGCTCCCTCGCCAGACACGCCGCCGCCCGCCCGCCTCCTCGACCTCCCCACGGAGCTCCTCGTGCGCGCCATCTCTCGCTGCGACCCCGCCGACATCGCTCGCACCGCGGCCGTCTCGCTCCTCTTCCACGCCTCGCTTGCGGTGGAGGGCATCCGCTTGCGGGCGCAAGAGCGCGGCTACGAGCTTCCGGCGCCGCCAGAGGGCGAGGGCTGCGCCGTGCGGTGGCTGTTCTTCGCTGCGCTGCTGTGCGAGTCCAACCCGCCGGCGAGGGCGGCGGCAGGCGAACTCCACAGCGTTTTCATCGACGGCGAGGGGCGGCTCTCGTCGTGCGGCTCTGCGCCGGACTGGTATCCCGGACTGCTCGGTCACGGCGAGGGCGTGACGCGGCTGAACACGCCGACCCGCCTCCCGTCGATGCTGGGTGGCGAGCGCGCCGTGAGCGTGGCGGCAGGAGATTACCACAGCCTGGCCCTCACCAGCAGCAGTGTCTGGAGCTGGGGCTATGGTCTCTACGGCCGGCTGGGCCACGGCGACGAGGAGGAGCAGTGGCAGCCAAAGAAAGTCGAGGCCTTGACTGGCCAGCGCGTCGTCGCCGTGTCGGCTGGAGGCGCGCACAGCCTTGCAATAACTGCCGACGGAGCTGTCCGGAGCTGGGGCCATGGAGGCAAAGGCCGGTTGGGCCACGGCGACGAGCAGAGCCAGCTGGAGCCCAAGAAGGTCGAGGCCTTTGCTGGCCAGCGCGTCGTCGCTGTGTCGGCTGGAAGCTTCCACAGCCTCGCCATCACCGCCGACGGCGCCGTTTGGAGCTGGGGCAGTGGAGACTGGGGCAAGCTGGGCCACGGCGACGAGCAGAACCGGCTCCTGCCGAAGAAGGTCAAGGCCTGGGCTGGCCAGCGCGTCGTCACTGTGTCGGCTGGAAGCTTCCACAGCCTCGCCATCACCGCCGACGGCAGCCTCTGGAGCTGGGGCCATGGACTCTCTGGCCAGCTGGGCCACGGCGACGAGCAGCAGCAGCTGCTGCCCAAGAAGATCGAGGCATTTGCTGGCCAGCGCGTCGTCGCTGTGTCGGCTGGAGGCCACCACAACCTCGCCATCACCGCCGATGGCGCCGTCTGGAGCTGGGGCTATGAAGGATGGGGCATGTTGGGCCACGGCGACGAGCAGCGCCAGCTGCTGCCGAAGAAGATCGAGGCCTTTGCCGGTCAGCGCGTTAACGCCGTGTCGGCTGGGCTGTACCACAGCTTCGCCATCACCGCCGACGGCGCTGTCTTTACCTGGGGCATGGGCGTTCACGCCTGCCTTGCCCACGGAGAGGACCTGTCGAACCAGCTGCTGCCGAAGAAGGTGGAGGCGTGGGCGCCGGGGCAGTGATGCAAGGGCGCAGGGGTTTCTTCTTTCCACTCCCGTGTGAAGGCCGTTTTCTTTTCTCAGCCTCTCTGTTTGCCCTGTGCCCGGGCGAGTAGAGGCACTCGCACGCACTCTCGAGGTGCACCACTCTCGAGGTCTCTTCATGGTAGGGGTGCCCTGCTCCGGGCGCACAGAAAGAAAACGGACAGGACCCCAGGGAGGGATATGGGAGGACGGCACGCCGCCACCACACAGGGATTTTAAGGAGAGGGGAGCACAGAAAGAAAGAAAGAAAACGGACAAGCCAAGGGAGGGATGGGAGGACGGCACGCCGCCACCACACAGGGATTTTAAGGAGAGGGGTGTGGTGCGCTAGCCGTCGCCCACCCTTGGGCGTCCGCCTCTTCCTGCATACGCTCACCCATAGAATTGTCACCGCCAGTGAGTGCGAGATAGGGCTAGCGGCTGGCGGCTAGCCTCTGAGGAGAGTGACCAGAGACACCTCACACGACCCCACACACGGTCTAGTCCGGCCTCGCGGTCGGCGGAGATTGCTAGAGGACGAGCAAGCCTGCTCTAGCCTCACGCGTTCGCCCCTGTCGTCTGTTGTGTTGTTGTGCCCTTGTTTGTTCCTTTGGCATCTTGGCTGGGGGAGGCGACAGGGGGGGGCGCGGCCTTGAGTTATGTGTACGCCAACTCAGGGTGTGTGGCAGCCACGCTGGCTGTGTGTGTCTTGTGAGCTTGTTTGTGTCTGCGTGTCGCTCGTGCGTGTCGTCATCATCTGTCCCGCGTCCACCCATACCGCGTTGGTGTCCAGTCCGAGCCTGACTGTTGTTCATCTTTCTACATACATACATACATGCGCGAGACAAAGGACGAAGACTGGCACTGTCTGCTGAGTCTCTGGGGCTCTGGCACTGGGGGCGCCCTTCGCCTCGCCGACTGAACCACCAGCCCCATCTCTCCGTTCTCTCTCAAGACTCTCACACGTGCCGCGGAACCATCCACATCATCGCTGGCTCGCGGCAGTACGGACACTCTTCCATCAGCTCGGAGCATGGTCCGCAAGCGCACACGTGACCGCACGGGACCGCGGCATGCGATTTCGCTCGCGCAAAGCATACGATACACGTGGTCTCTCCCCCCATGGTGGACTCGGGGACAGCTCGCCGACCCGTGTCAAAGTCGGCGTCCGCCAGCGAGACGGCCGCAAGCGGCGCAATGACGGGCAACGGGCGCTGACCCGTCGCCGACACGGATGTCGATGCCCCATCTGCCAACTGCGCCACCTCGGGCCCAATCAGGCGCTCGATAGCGCGCACACGCGCCTCGAGCGTCCCATCCTCGCTCGGCACGCCGAGGAGGCGCTCCAGCAGGTCGACCCGCTGTGGCAGGTCCGCCCCGTGACTGACAGGCTCGCTCCCCATCTCCTCCTCGCACCGCGCCACTCGAAGCACCAACGCCTCCGCCTCCGCCTCCGCCTCCGACACGCGTAGCAGCGCTTCCGCTAGCTCCACCGCCTCAGCCGCCTCTCGCTCCGCCGCCCGCTCCGCCGCCTTGCGGTCCGCAGCCGCTAGTTCTGCAGCCTCCCTCTGCGCTCGCCTCGCCGCCTCCTGCGCGTCAGCTAGCTGCGCCGCCCTCTCCTCCAGCGCGCGAAGCTCTGCCGCGGCCTGCTCTTTCCGCAGCTCCTCGAGCTCGAAGGCGGACGGCGCCTTCTTGGCCTCCTTTTTCTTCTCCTTGGCCTCCTTCTTGGCCGCGCGCTGCTCCGCCGCCTTTGCTAGCCACCTTGCCTTCTCCTCCTCCGCCCTCCTGCTGGCCTCTTCCTCCGAGCGCCGCGCCTGCTCGGCTCTCGCGGCGCTGCGCTCTACCGCCGCCGCCCGCTGCTCCGCACGTAGCACCTCCTCCGCTGCTAGCCTCTCCACCTCCCTTGCCCGGGCCTCCTCCTCCGCCGCCGCGCGCTCAGCAGCCAGCTTCGCCTCCGTCTCTGCCGCAATGGCCCGTTTCTGCTCCTCCAGCGCCGCCGCCTCTGCCGCCCTGCGCGCCGCGTCCGCGGCACGCTCTGCTTCGCGCTTGCGCGCCACCTGCTGGCGCTCACGTGCCGCCGCCTCCTCTGCCCGTGCGCGCTGCTCGCGCCGCGTTCTGGCCTCGAGCGCGCGCTCCTCCCGTCGCTTCTCCGCCAGATGTTGCTTTATAACATGCAAACACTCAGCGCTGTCTCCTTCCTGAGCACGTTGCAACGCAGTGCTGCCCTCTTCATCGCGTGCCACTGGATCTGCTCCTGCCCGCAGCAACGTTTTGACCACCGGCTCCCTGTTCATGTAGGCGGCCTCCATCAGTGCGCTGCCGTGACGGCAATGCTGGTGGAGGTCGGCCCCGCACTGCAGCAGCTTCTCGACCACCCGCTTGTGGCCGCCTTCGGCGGCGTCTATCAGCGCGGTGCGTCCGTAGCTATCTTGCTGGTCTATTATCGCGCCGTGCCGCACTAGCATTTCGACCGCCGGCTCGTGGCCATTTCCAGCGGCGCACATCAACGCGGTCATGCCGTTGCGTATGTAACCACTCTGGCGCTCCAGTGCCACCCCCCGGTTTATGTCAGCACCACCCTGTAGCAGTGTGGCGACGACGTTCTCATGGCCCCCTGCGGCTGCGATAATCAGCGAGCTCGGTCCACAGCTGTCGATGCGATCGATCTCCGCGCCGTGTCGCACCAGCGCCTCGACCGCCCGCGGCTTTCCTGCAAGGGCTGCAAGCTCCAGCGCAGTAGTGCCGTTGCCCTTCTTGGTCTCACATTTGTTCAACACGTTGAAAATGTTAATGAAAGTGTTGGTCTGATGGTTGACCTCCGCACCACGCTGCAGCAGCATGTCGACAAGCTCCTCGTGGCCATGCTTGACCGCGAGTGTCAGCGCGGTGTCTTGGTGAGCGCGCTGGAATGTTCCTACCTCATTGACTCTCGCGCCGTGCTTCAGCAGCATGTCAACCACTTGCTCGTGGCCATTGCACACTGCGAACATCATGGAATTGGTAAGCTGTGGTCGCGTAGGTACGTGACGTTCCAGCATTAGACTAACTATCCTCTCATGGCCGCTTTCGGCGGCCAGCATCAACGGCGTGTAGTCTTCTATCCCTTCGGATTCAAAAGTCAGGTTGAGGCTCCCGATGGCGCCTTCGTTGAGGAGCTTTAGCACTGTCGCCTCGTCGCCTCCCACGATGGTATCTGCGAATTCTCCGTCCATCCCTTTTCAGTGAAACGGAGTGAAGCCTGCCCTGCTCGGGTGCCGGACGAAAATTCGGGCCGCGCCGTTGTTTGTTTGATGTTTGCCAAATGCAAAAAGGCGAATCTCGTGCAAAAAAGAAAACCTAGCCCTCCGTTACTCCTTGACTTGGTTGCAAACTTGTGGGGCCCTGAGGGCGGGGCTCACGAGCCGAGTCTCAACCACACGCCCCCCGCGCGCCTGTACTCCACCAAGATCCAAGTCAAGGTGAAAAGATCTTATCAGCCAGGGCCCAGGCGGGCAGGGCAGGCGGGCAGGGAGGCGGGCGGGGTCAGGGAAGACTATTCCTAGCGGGCGATCCCCTCCCGACCCACCTTCCGAACGGCCTACACCCTATCCAGGCTCCGAACATAGTTGGTTTACGGGTCAGTCAGTCGGGGAACCCACTAGGGGGCGGCCCCTCACACGACTGCCCATACTCCACGTACGTACACGGATACGCCTCATGTGGCCCGCCCGGCTCCGGTCCCAGAGTCCCTTCCTTCGCCCGATCAGTTGTATCTCTTGGAGCACTTGGATTGCGGTCAGCAACCTCACGTCCAGGACCGGGGAGCGAAGAAGCGCACCCAGTTGGCCGGACGCTCGGGATCGGGTTGCGGGCTAGAGAGCCCTAGCCCCGGGGGTGCGCGGTCTTCCCTCTCCTGGAAGAGAAATCCCGTGTCGGTGGACAGTGGTGAAAAGGCCTGTGAGCCGTTCATCCTCCACTACTCCTTGACCCGTCCGTTTTCTTGCTTTCTTGGCAGACTAAAGAATTTCACGCCGAAAAGAAATGCATAACCATATGATAGGAAGGGCGTCCGTAATACCGAGCGCTAATTCGCGGGCAACGCGCTCCGTGCCGCGAGCCGTGATGGGGCGCGGCGCCTCAAAACCACAATGCCCGCCCCCAACGCCCGCCTGGCAGCCGCCCGCCGGCGAGCCAGCACCATCAGGTGAACTGACGGGTGTATTTTGGGGCAAGAACAGCTTCGGTACGTCGCTCGCAGGGCTGCTGCACTACGTGCCGTCAACCAATAGCAAAGAGTTCGGCATCTCGGGATTTTACACCAAGACGAGCAAGCCGGAGGCGGTAATTCCTCTCGCCGGGACCTGCATCCGCGGTAGAGTCGTTTTGTGGACGACGCAAACGATGGTGAATGTGACCGCAGGCAACCCGGAAGACGCTCAAAAGGGCAGCGACGGCGAACTCTCGCTCGAACGCCCGACGAACACACTGCTACTTCTCGGAATGTACCAGGGGAGGGTCAATAACTGGACGCTCGAGCAGCGCTGGATTCGTCCGATGGGTGCACAGGCAAGAGCTGCGCTGGCTGGCGATACCGGTTACAACAAAATGCGCAGTTGGATTCAGGGCGTCCCAACAGCTAAGCCCCTTACAGCTGCAGAAATGGCGGCTGTGGCGGACGCAGCGGACGCGGCGGCGGCCGTGGAGAAAATCGCCGCGGTTGGCCTGAACGTGTACCTGGAGCAGGCGGGCGTCGGCGGCGACAAGCAAGTGCTAGAGCGCGCCGCAGCGTGGGTAGAGGCGCAGAAGCCAACCTCGGTCGACGACATCGTCCAGTTCAAGCTGGTCGACGACCTTGTGAATGCGCTCGGCCTACCCCTCATCCCGAGAGCCAAGCTCCTCGGGGCACTGCAACCACAGGTCGCGGTCGTGCCGCAACCACAGGTCGCGACCGATTGGCTGGTCATGGGCAGCGCACTCCCAGAAGGTCGTTGAAGTGGAGCCCGCAGTTTTCCGCGAGAGCTTTGAAATGCAAGTATTTTGATTGAAAGCGCATTCGCCGCAAACGCTTCGCATAACACTCTCACCTCGGCCCCCAGATTTCGGTCTCACCGTTTTCCGTTTCCGCGTTCCCGTTCGCGCTGTGTAGTGTGTGTGAGTGTGTGCCTGTGTGGGCCGGGGCGGCCGCCGCCCTCGCTCTCGCGAAAGGTCGAGGTCGCTCTAGAGAGGTCGCTCGCCGACGCGCGACGGTCGCGCGCGGCGCGCTCGAGCTGCCACGGCTTGGTTCGCGCCCCTCCTGTCCCCCCTAGATCTCCCCCCCGCGCGCGCGCGCGCGCCCCCCGGCCCCGCGGCTCTTCGTGATACTTTTGAAAAGGGGGAGTTGAATTTCGATTTTGCATTTTCCATTTTCGTGGCGAAGGCCAGCAAGGTGGGACGCTGTCCTCCTCCCATCCCTACCAGTGTGGTCGCAACGGGCCGGGGGCCCGCACAACAAAGCAGTTCTCTCGGCATTTACCGGCTTTGCCTACCACGGCCTCTTCTTACCGGCCTGCCCTCTCGCTCCTCTCACGGGTGCAGTTGAGAGAGAGCCCGCGGCGAGGTCCTCCCCCTCCCTGGCTCTCGCTGACAGCTCTCGTTGAGTCTCCTCGGCTCGCTGATCGTCCTACTCCCGCTCCCACTCGTCCTTGTTCTCGGCCCCCCACGAGAAGCGCATCATCTTCATCTCCTCCTCGAGCTCGGTGGCCCAGTCGCCTTTGCCCGTCGCGCGCGCGTGGTTGAAGTTGCGGTGCATGTCGACGATCTTGCGCGCCTCCGGCGACAAGTCCATGTACCGCCCCTGGTACGGCTCGTCGTCGCAGACCTGCGGCGCAGCGCACGAGTGGCGGCGCAGCGCAGTAGTGGCCCCTGGCGCGAGCCTCGTCTGTGCATCTCGCGCGGGCGGGGAGGGCGGCGCGCGCCTGCTTGATGGCGAGGGCTGGCGAGAGCTTCTCCTCGGACGGGAAGAGCCGCGAGAAGACCGGGCCGCCTGAGGAAGGTTCCGAGAAGGTTCCGAGAGGGTTCCGAGCAGGTTCCCGAAGGTTCCGAGAAGAGCGGGCCGCCCGTCTCCTTGGGCAGCATCACGTGCACCTCGCCCGGCTCGTATGTCCACGTCGCCTGCCACACAAGCCGAGCCCCGGTGACGCTCTCCTGGCGCGGGCGTTCGAGGTGCGGGGCTGTGTCCACGCGCCTCGCCAGCCACCACAGGCTTGTCGAGCGAGCCTGAGAGGGGGGGGGGGAGGGAGGTCGAAGGCCTGCGCCGTGAGCCGACGCGAGGGAGGGCGGCGCGGCGAGGGAGGGCGGTGCGGTGGCGAGGCGAGCAAGCCTGCGAGGAGGACGTGTCCAATAGACTACTCAATAGACTTCTCACTAGCAAGCCTGCGAGGAGGACGTGTCCGCGCGCCACCATCCGCAGCAGCAGCGGCTTGATCTCGACGCGGATGTCTCTCCGCGCCATGTCGGGCGGGATGCGCACGAGCAAGTTGATCTCCTGCGGGGCAAGGTCGGAGGGGTGAGGGGTGGCGGCAGCGGGGTCGGCGAGCGACTGCGGCGGCTTCCTCGTCCGTCTGCGACCACGAGTAGGTCGTGTTTGCCTCGAGCGGAACCTCCGCCTTGCGCAGAGGGAGCAGAGGGAGCAGGGGGAAGGGGGGGGGGGGGGGGGGAACAAATCCGCTGTGGGGCGGGGTGGCCTTGCGCCCGTGCCCCGACCCTCTCGGGCCCGCTACTCCCACGGCTCGCGCTTCTCTGCTGCTCGAGCGCAACCTTGATCAGCGCTCCGCCGCCGCCGCCGCGAGAGGGAGGCTTTGCGGCCGGCTCCGCCCGCTGCTGCAGCATGTCTCTCCGCTGCAGCATGCCGTTGCCGGGCGCGCCTCCCGGCGAGGGCTGCGGAGGCGGCTTGCGCGTGATCGGCGCCGCCTGGGTCGCACCCGCCGCGGGGGTGGCGCGGGGGTCGGGGCGAGGCGCGTGCGGAGGCGGGGCGGCAAGACCACGGCTCGCTGCCTCTGGGCTTTGGGGGGGCGAGAGAGGGGGGAGGGGAGAGGTGTGTGAGGGGGGAGAGCGTGCGATGCCTTTGGGCTGACGAGGACCAGCTCGTGGTGCGGGAAGGGTTAGGGTTAGGGTTAGGGTTAGGGTCAGGGTTAGTGCCTTTGGGCTGACGAGGACCAGCTCGTGGTGCGGGAAGGGTTAGGGATAGGGTTAGGGTCAGGGTCAGGGTTAGTGCCTTTGGGCTGACGAGGACCAGCTCGTGGTGCGGGAAGGGTTAGGGTTAGGGTTAGGGTTAGGGTCAGGGTCAGGGTTAGTGCCTTTGGGCTGACGAGGACCAGCTCGTGGTGCGGGAAGGTGCGCCGGTGCTCCGGGCCGTAGTAGCCTACGAGAGACAGCCGCAAGCTCACACGGCGCCCCTCCCTGGCAAGCGGCGAGCCCCGTGGCGGTATGCGGCGCCGCCGCGGTGGCAACGCATGCACAAGTCGAAGGCGCTGTCGCCGACGCCGCAATCGACGCAGTGGTAGAAGCGGCGGACCTGTTCGCGGCACGGCGCGTGAAGAGGCGCTGCTCACGGCCGTGGGAGGGGCCGCAGCCGAGGAGGCACAGTGGAGGCGCAGCCGTCGCAGCTGGCTTGGGAGCCCGGCAGAGGGTACTCTCGCTCCTCGCCTGATCAGGTCAGGAGTGGAGTGCTGATGAAGCAGGCACGGCACTCGGTCTCCTCTCGCCAGCGGCTCGGTGAGGCCGAGGAGACGGGCTTGGCGGTGGGGCGGTGGTGGGGTGGAGCAGCGGTCGGGAGTGGAGTGGCGGTCGGGAGTGGAGTGTCGAGCGGGTTGGGTTAGGGATAGGGTTAGGGTTAGTGGAGTGGCGAGCGGGTTGGGTTAGGGATAGGGTTCGGGTTAGTGGAGTGGCGAGCGGGTTGGGTGGCGGGGCGAGGCTACGCCTGGGTCAGAGCCCTACTAACCCCTACTAACCCTAACCCTAACCCTAGAGGCTACGCCTGGGTCAGAGCCCTACTAACCCTAACCCTAACCCTAGAGGCTGGCCTGGGTCAGAGCCTCCGTCGCTGGAGGAGCTCGACGATGCGTCCGAGGCAACGCGCCTACAGGGCGGTTCCAACAAGGTTCCAAGAAGGTTCCAAGAAGGTTCCAAGAAGATGCGTCCGAGGCAACGCGCCCCTTGTACGCGGGCACGGGCTTCCGCCTCCGCCTCCGAGGCCCCTCCGAGCCCTCCGCCCGGGCGCCGTCCACACGCGGCCCCGCCGCTGCTGCCGCTGCCGCTGCCGCTGCTGCTGCTGTTGCTGCTGTTGCTGCTGCTGCCGGCGGTTGCTCCTCCTTCGTGGGTCGCGGGGTGAGCCTCACGGCTGGTCGCCAGGAGCTGCGTGCCGGCACGGCCACGCCGTTCGAGAAGCCGTCGCCATTCTCCCCTCCCGCCGCCGCTCGCCCCGATAGGCGGCTCTCTGCGAGGCGGCTCTCTGCGAGGCGGCTCTCTGCGAGGCGGCTCTCTGCAGGTGCGACTCGAGCGACTCGCGTGCCGCCGTCCACCGCCTGCCGTCGCCAAGCCTGCCGTGCGCGCGCCGCCGAAAAGGCACCGCGCCCAGCCGAGGAGTCCGGCACCGCCTCAGCCTGCGCACCATCGTGCTCGGGCAGTGCACAGACAGGAGCATTCTCACCCGCGAGAGACTCCTGCAGGTGCTGCCTACGGCCGTCGCCGCAAAAGAGAGAGCTCCAGCCAGCGACCTTCTCCTTGAAGAGGACGAGTCGCAGCTCCGTGGATTCCGCGCCGCTCTCCGGTACGTACAGCGTGTAGGCGCGTGTGCGGCGCGGCACGACGGGCGCAAACAGCCGGCGGCGAAGCAGGACGCCCGAGCCTGCGAGCTCGAGTGTCAGGCGGCGGCGGGAGAGGACGACCTTGAGCTGGCTGTGGGCGGTGCCGGTTGGCACGACGATGCCGCACGTTGCAGTCGCGTTGTCCTGCCTCCACGTGTACGCCATGGATGGCCCGAGCGAGGAGGCTGGACCACACCAACAGCTCGCTGCTGCCTCAAAAGAATTTTACAAGTTGTGGCGTTCTCGAGGTTCTCGAGGTGGATATCCTTTGGCCGCGTTGGGTAGCGAGGATTGGTGTAACCCGAGCCACGGAGGCGTGTTTTCTGACGGCCGACCGTCAGTGCACGGAGTTGCCCCTTCTCCGACTGCCCCGGCTAGTTCCCGAGTTTCGCGGGAGTGACCCCATGCGTCAAACCCGAGACCTAGCGCGGGTGGGTTGGAGGGGCCTCGGAAAGGCGCGCAAGCACGCCCTACGTCTTCCCCTCCTCCCCATCGGGCCGCATGAGCGGCCACGCCTCGCAGATTCGTTTCCGCGCCTGGGTCAGGCGCGCGGGGCATCCCCCGGGTCGCTCGACCAGCGATCCGAAGAGTGGCCGCTATGCGAAGGAAAGAGTGGGGCCCTCGACGCCTCAGTCCGGCCCTCCGAGGGGGGAAGGGAATTGCGGGGTCCCCTCGGGCGCCTCAGTTCGGCCCTCCCGAGGGGGGGAGGGGAGCAAGGGGGTGGGGGGATTGGGGTGGTGGGGAGGGGTCTCGGTTTTATGTGGCTAAGACTTGCCTTTCGGGGAGGGGCCTCGGTACAAGCGAGGCAGGCTCAGCTCGACATCTTCCCCTCCTCCCTCGAGGCAGCGAGTAGGCAGCGAGAGGAGGTCTCGAGCGCCTATATGAAGGTATGTGAGATGCCGCCCGCCGTAACGCAAGAGCACTGCGACGGATCGGGCTCATGCTAGCATCCACCTCGCGAGCCGACGTTCTGGCTCAGCGAGGTTGCTGCGGAGCACTCGCGGACCGGTTCTTCTGGCCCAGCGAGGCCGCTGCGGGACACACCGGCGGCTCGGTTCGCTCTTCAACGCAAACTCGCGGTCGAGCAAGAAGTCAGATGTGTGTGTAAAGGCGGCGCGGCACGGTAAGGGTCGGCGGTAAGGCGGCGCGGCGGCAACAGACGGCAGGCAGGGCATCGGACGGCGGGACAACGGCACTGTAGGAGCGGCGACACGGCGGCACTGTAGGAGCGGCGACACGGCGGCACGGCGGTAACGGACGGCAGGGGGGCGGCGGGCTAAACGGTTTTAGCGCTGAGGTTGTGACCTCGTGGGTCGTGGCCCGTCCACGTGGCCCCGACACTGGTCCACGTGGACATTGAAATTCGTTTCAGCTATTCACGGAGCTTAGTTCCAGTAGTGTTGTGCGAAGGTCAGAGACGCACTTGGAGCACTTGGAGGAACCGAGCAAATTCTTTATCTTGTGAGCTGTTGCTTCCAGCTCCCGGCTCCAGCCCCATAGCGTCGTCGCGGACGTTGAACCGGGACACAGCCTCGCCGCTCGCGATGTTACCGTCACCGTCCTTCATCCTCGCGGCCGCCGCCGGCTTCGCGACGCCAACTCTCGTGGGGCGCGCGTGGTGCCCGCCTGCGGCGCCTGCCACTCGACTCGTCGAAGCCAGGATGGCGGACGATTTTGGTGGCTTTGAGGTGGCTGTTCGCGAGTACGTTGCCACGCTCAGCGCCTCCGAGCTGAGCGACGCTGACGCGCCATCGCCGCTCGCGTACGACGAGCTGCGGCGCAAGGGTCGTGTCGACCTGGTCGAGGGGTGCATGCGCCACGGCGGGTACATAAAAGTGAGCAAGCAGCTGGGACTGCCCCTGCGCCTCGCAGCGCCACCGCCTGCACCGCCGCCGTCATCCTTTAGCGAGCCGGAGGCGCCCGCCGTTGGCCTCAAGCTCTCTGGTGCGGCGCGCGAGTCGCGGCTCCAGGAGGACATCGCCGCGGGCGTGGCGGCTCCGTCGCCGCAGGCACGGCCGCGGCGGCAGCCGCAGCCTGCTCTTGAGCTGGAGAAGCTGCGCCCGGGCCTCGTGAACGAGGCTGTCGCGGCAGCAGCCCCTCCGACCGCGCAGGCCCGCGAGCCACAGCGAGAGGGCGCGCGGCTGCGGCTCGAAGGCCCGCAGCGCGCAGCGCTCGTAGCGCTGGCGTGGATCACCGCGCTCGGATACGGCCATGCGTCATCGGGCCTGCTCGACCCGTCGCTGCTGGAGCCGTTGCGGGCAGCGGCTCCCGCGGCGCTGTGCGCTTGCGTGCTCACCGCAGTGCTCGGTGCCGTCAAAGGCGAGGAATGATCGGAGTGTTGGAAGGGGCGTGGGCCCGCCGACGAGTGTGGGGCGCCGTGACGGTTGAGAGCCTCCTGGTCCTGCGGAGGGCGCAGGCGGAAAACGAAAAGGAAGGGCGAGAGCTCGGATCCTAAACACGTATGTTGAAGAAAATATAGGGAGAGACAGAGAGCCGACGCGAGGCGGGTGGGACGCCGGGGGGCCTGGCCCCCGCCTGGCCCTGCCCCACGGCCCGTTCGGCCACACCCGACCCACTCGCCGCCCTCGCACCTCGCTCCGCGCTCCTGGTCCACAGCGCTGTGGAGACCGTGGGGAGATACTATAGACTGTGAGAGTCGACACTCCCCAGTCTGAACTCAGCGCAGGCTGAGGGCCTCCTCCGAAAACGGCGACGGATGGCAGCGCAGCCAACGCTTGAGCTCCGCCCTGCCCTCCCGCTCGGTGAATCGCTCGTCGGTCGACCACTTCAGGCTGGTCGACATGTCGATGGACCGCTGGTGCTTGAGCACCATGTAAGCTGGGACAACGTTCTTGGACGAGATCTGCTCGTGCGCCCGCGCAACGAAGCGATCGATAATGACCTTGCCCGAGGCCGACTTGTCCGCATCACGGAATAGCGACTCGATCTCCGACGACGAGAGGAGAAAGTTCATCGAGGAGATGCCTTCGATAAAGTCGCTTTCCGAGAGCTCGCCCGTCTGATCGGGGTCACGCACTCGCAGCTGCTCCCCAAGCCGAGCCAGCTGCGCCCGCAAGGCGCTATTAACTTCGTCGGACGTTGTCACCGCGATCTCCCGATGGTTAGAGCCGTCCCCGTAAGGCTCAGCCCACGGCGCCGGCTGCGCTGGCTGCCCCAGCACGTTTGATCCGATCGGGAGCTCCTGAAGAAGGGGTCGGGGGTGGGGTGAGCGCGCGTGCACATGGCGGCATGAGAAGCGAGTGACACCTTGGCCGAACGGAGGCTGCGGCGGGTGTTGGGCTGAAGCTCCGCGCTGAAGGTCACGCGACCGACGTTGGATTCGTCCGCGAGCATCTCGCAGAACAAGCGGAGATCGGCGACGCCGGGCTCTCGCGTGTCGCACTCGTCGAGGAGGGTGCGCTGCAGCTCGGGGTCCACAATCACGTCGGGGGCGAGAGTAGAGAGCATGAACTCAAAATGAGCGCGGGGGAGCTTGCACTTGCCCGAGGTGTCCCAGCCCCGAATGACGTCGAGCAAGACGCGGCAGCCCGCGCGGTGGGACTCTTGCGCCGAGGTGCTGCTCCTCGCCTCCTCCTCTGTCGCCGGGGCGGCAGCTTCTCTCTCAGAGTCGCCATCGTCCAGTACAAGCAGCTCGCCGCTCGATCCGGCTGCAGCCGCCTCCCGAGCCGCCGCCCGCGCCGCCAGGGACGCGGCATGCGCGGCATGCACCTCGGCCGCAACGCGTGCGGCCGTGTCTGGGCGGGTGCCGCCGGCCGCTGCCATCAGCGCTGCCACCTGTTGTTCGAGCCCCGTGCTCACGGTTGTGCTCCACAGACGGCGCTCGGTGGCGTCGAAGCTTGCGACGGAACGAGTCAGTGGCGGTCGCTTTCGCAGCAGAGGAGCTCGCCGTCGGTCAATCTGCGCGGTTGCAGGTCGGGATTGACCCGCAATGGTGACGGTCTGCTCGGGCAAGCCTGCCCTGCGCGACCGCTCCTTGAGCTCCTTGGCGAGGGAAGCGCCGGAAGCGCCCTCGCAAGCGTGGCGTCTCCACCGCAGCTCATCCGCCTCCCGCCTCGCGTCCTGCTCCTTCCGCCAGACGTCGAGCGTCTGCGCACGCGACGTGGGCGGGCACCGCGGCGGCGGATGGTTGGTGCCGAGCTTGGGAGGGCATCGGTGCATCATCGACGGCGTCCGTGGCCGTTGCGGCGAGTAGACGGATGCGGGACCCTTGGGCACATGCACCGTTCGACTGCTGCTCGATAGGCCGACGCTGTCCAAGAAGTCCACCAGCGACGGCGCGAGCGGTGTGGTACGAGCCGCACCTGCTGTGGCAGCCCTCCGCCTGCTGCCGCCGGCGAGGCGGCGAGCCGCCTCGGGAGTCCTCGACGGCCGGTGCGAGCCGCCTCGCCGAAGCATGGGCGACGAGGCTGGGCGTCCGAGGTGGCGATATGCGGGGACCGCCGATGCGGATGGGATGGTGGTGTCGATGCTCGAGAGCGATGCGGCTGAGAGCTGCCGCTTGAGCGACTCGAGCTCCCCGATGAGGGACGCATTTTGACTGCGCACGGCCGTGAGATGCTCCTCCAAGTCTTCGAGCTCTGCCATGTCGCGCGCGGGGGAGCGGGAAGGGGAGCGGGCTGACGGGCGGAGACAGCGGCACTGGGCAATCGTGGGCCGTAACGTGCGGGGACGGACGCTAGTTGGGAGTGCGAAAGAGTAGGTGAGCCGAGAGAGTTGTTTCGACTTTGGGCATGCCAAGCCAAACCAGAAACCGCTCCACCGACCGCAACTCAAATTGGGCTACTTGCTTGGGTACTACGAGTAAATGTATCTTGCTTTGCCAACAACAGCACGTCGAGAGCTCGAGACTTCGTTCGTCTGGAAGAACGGTGGTGAAGCTGGACGTGCCCCGTGCCCTGCTGCTGTTCCTTCGACATATCAACGTGTGAGTGTTAGAGTTGTTTGGTATTGCTAAAAATCTCTCTCTCTAGATCTAGGTGCCCACGGTCGATTTTTGCTCTTGCTCAAGAAATCGAAAAGCTCGGGGGTCGAAAGTAGCAGCTGCGACGAGGAGAGCCCACCTGTCCCCCTGATCGTCCTTCCAAAATCCTTGCAGGTGGGGACCTGTCCTACTCCACGGTGCGGCGAGCGTTTTCTTTCTTTCGGTTTAGCAGCGGCCGAGGCAGCGGCGGAGGCAGGGCGAGTCCCTCTTCACGTGCCAACGATAATGCCGGCGACCGCACGCATCCCCGACGCATTTGCTGGCGCCGCGGCGGCCATGCCGGAGCCACAACGCGCCCTACTAGTTGATGGCGCCGATCCCTCCACCGTGCCGGCTGAAGAGGTCATGCGCACGCTCGGTGGCGGCGTCGCAGCGGCCTGCTTCGCCACCGATGTCGTCACGCTCCCCAGACTGCTTTGCCGATCGGCGTGCGAGGCGCTCGCGGCGGCGGTGGATGCGGAGCACGACTGCATTCGAGATACAGTTGACGGTGCGCCCGACTGTCAGCTCAATCTGACGTGCGAGGAGCTGTCGGCGCTGATTGGAGCCGCGAACGTCGAAGCCATCGCCGCGGTCGCACGCGCGCTCGACCTGCGCGGTGGCGGCGGACGCCAGCGGGAGCTTGCCATGGTCGAAGCGTTTGTGAGGAAATACACGCCAGCGACTCGGCCCTGGCACCCCTTTCATCAAGACAGAGCGCGAATTACCGTCAACGTTGCGCTGTCGGACGACTCGCAGCACGGCGGCGGCCGGCTCCTCGGGCTCTTTGCGGACGGCGTGGTCCGGTTCGATCGAGCCGCGGGCGACGCGACCGTCCACTTCTCGCGGGTCGTCCACGGCGTCTCTCGGATGGAGCACGGCACGAGGTACGCTCTCATCGTCTTCCTCGGCGAGGAGCCGCCGGTGAGGAGAACGCTTGGGCCCGATGGCGTGTGGACAAGAGCTGTGGACGTGTGACCCCTCTCTCGCGGTTCGGAGCTGTTGGGAAAGGCTGGGGCAGTCGACTCGAGTCTCGACGAGCGTGCGTGCGGTGACTCGTGGCGCAGGCCGCCCGTTGACCTCTTCGTACCCTCCGCACATTCCCCTCCCGCCCTCACACGGCGCGGCCGCAAGCAACGGGGGCGGCACGCAAACGACATACTAAAAGGCACATGTACAAAACGCGAAAAAATACGAAAATGACACCAAGAAATATCATTCTCGCAAAACCTCTCTCGTCTCTCTCCCTGCTCTCTCCACAGCGAGCAGCGGTCTCCAGGAGCAGGTGAGTGGTGACGTCCCCACGCGCGCGTGGGCGAAAGAGCGTATTCGCCACCCGCGCAGTCGCTGCGCAGCGATGGGACAGTGGCGTGAGTCGGTGAAGCTCACACTGACCGGTGCGAGGGAGACTCGGGACGGCCGCCCGCAGCCCGAAATGGCGGCCCGCCACGCCGCTCACTCCTCCTCGAGCGACAGCGTCTCCATTTTGCGGTAGAGGCACATGTACGCGATGTGCCAGTCGCCTCCGCCGTACAGCTCCTTGATGCGCGGGGCGTCCACCTCGGCGACCGTCTCGTCGTCGAACACGAGCCACGTCTTCGCGTCGCGCTTGACCCACGCAACATAGTGGCCGCCCTCGGCCGTCCGCCCCTGATGCGTGATGATGCCAAACAGCTCGTACTGGCCTGGGCGGGGAGGGACGGGGGAGGGTGGGACAGGGAGGGACGGGGGAGGGGTCGGGCGGGGGGGGGGGGGGGCGGAAGCAAAGCAACCCGAGCCCCGGCGGCCCGAGCCCCGGCGGCCCGGGCGGCGGCGGCCCGGGCGGCGGCGAGGGCGGCGTCGCACCGGTCCGGTTGTCGCACTCGAGCGCGTGGACGGGGCCGATGCGCGCGGCCTAATTAAATCGTAATTAATGAGAGAGTATTTAATTAAGGACGGGGCCGGGGCGCGCGGCCTCAGCGTGGATCTCCTCGACCGCCTTCGAGCGGTCCGCCTCGCCGGAGGAGCCCGCGCCTAGAAGGTTCCTAGAAGGTTCCTGGAGCTTCCTAGAAGGTTCCTCGCCTCGCCGGAGGAGCCCGCGCCCTCCGTCTCCATCGGCGTTGGCTCGGCCGGCTTGGCGGCGAGCGCCGCGGCGCCGGCTAGGGTGTGCTCTCCAGTGTCGGCCGGCGCGGCGGCGGCGGCGGCCTTGTCGGCGGCAACCTTGTCGGCGGAAGCCTTGTCCGCTGCAGCCTTGTCGCGCGCCTCTTCGAGCCTGTTGTTGTGCGACGCGATGTTTGCCTGCAGCTCTTTTGTGCACAGGTTCCGCACGTCGAGCACGTCGGGGAAGGAGATCGGGCGGAGGATCTTCGCGCGCTTCTCGGTGTCCTTGCGGTACTGGAAGCGCACAAAGTTGACGGCGAGGTAGGGCGGGAGGCGGGCGATCTGCTCCGTCTTGTCGAAGAGCGCCTCGCGGCCGAGCGCGGCCGAGTGCTTCTCGATCGACTCGGAGAGGGACGCCTCGACCGCCGTGTAGAGGTGCGCCTGCCCGCGGCAGAGGGCGGTGAGGGAGGAGGCGCTTCGCAGCCGCGGCCCGGCGGGAGGCGCGCCGTCTTCTCGTTGATGTGGCACTTGAGGACCGTGTCCTTCTCGCGCTTCTCGTACGGCTCCTCGCCGCCCGCCTCGGCGCACGCGTACCTCGTCACCTTCTCGACGCCTACGGGACGCGTCGCGGACATGTCACGCGCGCCCCCAGACACGTCGACCGCTGCCACCTCTCGTCGCCAAAGAGCGCGTCGCCGAGGTTGTCGCGCAGCTCCTGCTGGTGCGGCAGCAGCGGCGGCGAGGCGTTGTCGAGGTCGGACGGCGCGCCGCCTAGAAGGTTCCTAGAAGGCTCCTAGAAGGCTCCTAGAATGTCCCTGGAGGTCGGACGGCCCGGCGCCGTCGGGCAGCTTGAGCCGCTGCGCGAGCACATTCGTGACGAGCGTGGACCAGCACTCCTGCGCGTCCTGCTGCACAAAGCCGCGCCCGCCCTCGGCCTGCTGGGCGAACATCGGGAAGTTCTGCCGAAAGACCGACACGAACTTGAACGGGCGCACCTCCTGCGTCGCGTTGGACCGCTCGAGCTCGCCGACCAACTCACGCATCGCAAACAGCAGCGCCTTCTCAGACTCGCCGCCGGTGCCGGCGTACTTTTGCAGCGCGAGCGATACCTCGGGGATGCGGATCATCACCTGCAGCGACGAGTTGAGGTAGCAAGTGTTGCCGAGGTTCGTCAGCCCGCCTGGGTTCTTGGACGCGGTGAGCGCGGCGACGTCGACCGCGGGCATGTCCTCCACGAAGATCGTCTTCTCGGCGGGCGCCTCGGGCACCGCCTCGGCCGAACCCATGAGCATCAGCACCTGGCCCTGCTTGACGCCCAGCGCCTCCCAGTCCGCGCCGTCCTTGACGGTGCCTCCCTTGACGCCCATGATCTTTTGCCGCTCGACCGGCACGTTGGTGAGCGCGAATAGCTGCGCCTTGAAGAGGTCGACCGGCGCCGACTTGTCCAGCTCGACGGCCTCGAACTTCTTCTTGCCCCACTTGACGGTGACGTTGATTGTGGACATATATATATTTGCAGCGGCGGAACGCGAGACGGCCTGGGCGAAAAAAATTTAAAACGCGAAAGAATTTTCTACGGCACAGCGGCGAGGAAATGACAAGGGAGAGAACGACGAGAGTGGGACGACCGCGAGGTGGCATGAAGGCTGCAGCGAGAAGCGGCGAGAGACTGCGAAGAGAGATAGGAAGAGGCAGACTCCCTAGGGTGGGCGACGGCTAGCGCATCACACACCTCTCCTTAAAATCCCTGTGTGGTGGCGGCGTGCCGTCCTCCCATCCCTCCCTTGGGTTGTCTGTTTTCTTTCTTTCTTTCTTCGCACAGCGGCGAGAGACTGCGAAGAGAGATAGGAAGAGGCAGACTCCCTAGGGTGGGCGACGGCTAGCGCACCACACACCTCTCCTTAAAATCCCTGTGTGGTGGCGGCGTGCCGTCCTCCCATCCCTCCCTTGGCTTGTCTGTTTTCTTTCTTTCTTTTTTACACAAGACGGCTAGCGCACCACACACCTCTCCTTAAAATCCCTGTGTCGTGGCGGCGTGCCGTCCTCCCATCCCTCCCTTGGGTTGTCTGTTTTCTTTCTTTCTTTTTTACACAAGACGGCTAGCGCATCACACACCTCTCCTTAAAATCCCTGCGTCGTGGCGGCGTGCCGTCCTCCCATCCCTCCCTTGGGTTGTCTGTTTTCTCTCTCTCTCTCCACACAAAACTCCCTCGCACAACACTGCAGACTGCAGGCACCAGGCTTGACCCCGTTGGGCCACGGTGACTAGGGAAGGGGAAGCAGAGTTCAGCAACGTATTCACGGGCGTCTCAGCAATTGGCCGGTCGACAAATTTCTTGTTGGCTTCTAAAAATCTCTCTCTCAAATTTTGCCGAACGGGTCTATCGAGGTCTCGCGGAACGCAATTTTTTGCACATTGATCATTGTCGGTATACTCTCACCAAGATGCACTAAAGTACGAAACAAAGTTGTAACAATACAAGGCTGTTTCCAGTGGGGGGAATGGCCAACTACACACAGAACTCGGCTCTCGAGCAGTCAGGTCACAACATGACACACACCGCGCTGCCACCTCCTCCCGCCCCCCCCGCCCCCCCCCCGCGGCCACCGCCGCGCGGCCGCCCAAAGGGGCCCTACGCAGCGCTGCTGAGGGGCGGCGCCAGCGCGTGACCGACGCATGCACAAGGGAGCCGTCAGATCTCGCATTTGCTCGCATTGATGGCAGCTTCCTTGGAATACTTCCACAGGGGATCGAAGAAGGCGGTCTTGAAGTGCTTCGCAGCGGCTGAATTCTCAACGACGTAGCCAAAGTTCTGTAGGGAAGTCGGATAGAGGTTCCGCGAACCAATGTAGAAGACGGCGTCATCGACGAGGAACACTTTGGTATGGAGCGCGATTGCCTTGCCTGCGACTTCCACTTTGGCATGTCATGCGCGATGCGGACTGAGGCGAGCTTCAAAAGCTCGCAGACCCTCTTCTTCGCCTTCACTGGGCAATCGCTGTCACCAGCCTGTGCAAGGCACATCCGAGGTAGCAGGGCCTTCGTAATGTCCGTCAACTTGTACACTGAGGGCCCGTGCGTTAATGACCGCGCAAGATATGAAGGGTGGCTAAGGGCTCTGCCCGCAAGGCGCCCGCGTCGCAGACGCGGTACCATTGACAAATCTGCAATATACCCCCACACGAACAAATAGCAAAATCCGAATACCGTGCAGAAACCATGTGATGTCCGCCGTGGACGGACCCGTGCAAGCCTTCAGCTGGTGCCAAGACATCCGTAAAATTGAAGCCAAGAACGTCCGCCAAATCCGTGCTTTCGGAGCAACTGAGGGAAAGCCGCTGATCGAGCCCAGCGTGCCCGCGGCCGCCTCCCGCGCAGCACCGCCGCTGGGGACGACACGCTGCGGAATCGGATCGAGCCCATCCATGCACCGGGCAAAGAAAGGACGCTGCACAAGCGGTTGGAGAGGCAGCCGGCGTCTGCCGTCACAACGAGTCCCAGCGCTAGAGGGGCCCCCGGAGGGATGCTCAACCGCTCCACGCCACCTTATTCCCAGGTCCGCTGAGTTATTTTTTGCGCTAACACGCTCATATATTATATATATATGTGGAGCGCCGGCCTTTCGCTGTTGTTGTTAGTTGTCCTCCGAGGTGTTGAGCCAGCGTCATGACTGCGGCCCTGTTCGCTCTCCTCCTCCTTCCAGCGCTCAACGACGACGCTGACCCTCGCACCCTCGTCCGCTGGGCCTCGTCGCGCTGCGAGCCGGCCGTAAGCGGCTCGTGCGGCCGCGAGCCGCACGGCTACTGCGACGCGTCGGTCGGCCGGTGCGTCTGCTCGCCCGGCCGCTTCGGTCCGCGGTGCGAGCAGATGCACTACCCGGCCTGCCGGCTGCACCCCGACGGCGAGATGGCGTGCGACACCTTTGTCGGCCTCATGTCCTGCGCGTGCCGCCTCTCGTGCGAGCAGAGGTACGGCTCGATGGCGCGGTTCAACACGCCTCTCTGCTGGGACGAGTCCGTGTCGGACGAGGAGCTCAGCCGCCGGTCGCTGCAAGCCGACGGCGGCCGCTCTCCAGCGACCCTCCGCACCCACACACTCCCCACCCTCCCCGACGCAAGCGGCCGCGCCTCGCTATCCCAGGCGCCCTCACCGCCCTCTCGCTGGTCAACACGTCCGACTTCCCGGCGGCGAGCGCGAGCATCGTCTTCCGCACCGACCAGTGGCCGCTGCGCGGCCGCTGCGCGCGGAAGAACATCGCGCCTGCCAAGCTCGCCGCCTGCACCTCGCGCACGGCCGTTGGCCACAACAAGGCGACGAGGCAGCGAGGAGAGGGGGGGGCGCCTCCGCTCTCCCCGCGGACGCCGCCCGTCGCCGCGCCTCAGGCGAGGAACATGCTCGGCGGCGACCCCGTCCCCAACTGGCGCTGCCCCGGCTCCTGCTCCCACCGCGGCACGTGCCTCGTCCCCGCCGCCTAGACACTTCAGGGGCCTTCTAGGAACCGTCCAGGAACCTTCTAGGCACGTGCCTCGTCCCCGCCGCCTAGACACTTCTGGGGCCTTCTAGGAACCGTCTAGGAACCTTCTAGGCACGTGCCTCGTCCCCGCCGCCGTCCGCTCGGAGCACGCGCGGGAGCAGTACCCGCTGCAGGGCGAGCGCGCCGGCGAGGCCCTGCCCCCGCCTCCGTGTGCGCGTGGGCGTGTGCCCTCACGCCTGCCGCACCGAGCAGGCGAGATTACCCGAGATTACCCGAGATTGCCCTCACGCCTGCCGCACCGAGCAGGCGAGCCGAGCTGCGTCTGCCACCGCGGGTATGTCGGCCGCGCCTGCGAGGCTGTCAGCCCGTCCGAGGAGCGCGTGCGCCTCGCGGCAACGCCGCCTGCCGACGCCGCGTCCGTGACGCGACCGTGAGACGTGTCCACAGGAGCCGTTCGGCGCGTCGAAGTACGGCTCGCTCTGCCTCAACGGCCGAGGCTGCTCCGGCCACGGCGCGTGCGTCGCCCGCTTCTGCCTCTGCCACGCCGGTTGGGCGGGCGCAGACTGCTCGCTCCCAAACGCTCCGAGCCGGCCGCTGGCGCCGCCCGCCGCCCTGCCGAGCGCGCAGCCGATTGGCGGGCGGCGCGTGCCCATCTACATCTACCCGCTGCCGACCGAGATGTCGCTCGAGCACGTCTACATGCGCGACATGCTGCGGCGAGGCCAGTACTACGCCAACCTCATGTTCCTCGAGGTGACGCGTCCTCCTGCCCAACCTCCTGCCCAACTCGCCATCGCATGTCCCCCAGCGCCCGCCCCTCCCCCAGCCCTTCCGCCAAGCGCCCGCTCCCCGCCGCACCCGCCCCTCCCCCAGTCCCTCCCCCAGTCCCTCCGCCAGCCCCTCCGCCAGTCCCTCCGCCGCGGAGCGGGCGGTGCCGCGCCCACACCCAACCGCCCGCCCCGCAGGCGCTGCTCCGCGACAAGGCCTCCGTCGTGGCAGACCCGGAGCAGGCGCGAGGCCGGCCTCGGCCCAGCGCCCGCCCGCTGCTCGCCCAGGCCGGCAGCTGCCTCGCCCGCAGGCGGCCCTCTTCTTCGTGCCGGTGATGCCGATGCAGATGGCGGGCAACTTGTGGCACCCATACGAGTTCCTCGCGCAGACCGCGCGCCACCTCGCGAGCGAGTATCCCTTCTGGCGCCGCTCCGGCGGGCGAGCGACCAGCCCTTCCTCGCACGCCGAGTGAGGAGGGGATCAACAACTCACGGCATGTCAATCCATTGGTAGTCGCGACCACATCTTCTTCCTCACGACGGACCGCGCCGGCTGCTGGAAGCCATTCGAGCTCAACCAGTCCATTGTGCTCACCTACCTCGGCTTCTCTGCGCCGGAGGCCAACTCTGGCTGCGAGGAGCGGCTGGCTAACCCTCGCCCTGACCCTGGCCCTGACCCTGACCCCTAGGCCAACTTTGGCTTCGAGGAGCGGCTGCGCTGGGGCGCAAACCCGTCGGGGCCGGAGCGGCGCAACAACGCGTACGACACGCGCGAGGGGTCGGTCGCCACCACGCTGCCCTGCTACGTGCCTGGCCAGGACATCGTCGCTAGCCCCACCCCTGAGTCATAGCCCATACCCAAAACCCTAACCCTGACCCTGACCCTGACCCTGACCCTGACCCTGACCCTGACCCTGACCCTGACCCTGCTACTTGCCTGGCCAGGACGTCGTCGTGCCCGTCGACACCGAGGTGAAGGCCGCCGACCAGGCAAAGTCGCCGCGGCCGGGCGCTCCGTACCAGTGCGCGGGCCGGGCGGGCAAGCTGAAGCTGCTGCACATGGGCGGCTCGATGCAGAACATGGGGCGGATCGAGTACTCGCAGGGCGTGCGGCAGCGCATCGCCGAGCTGCACAGCGACGAGCCAGACTTCGTGCTCGGCGGCACCTTCACGCTGGACGACCTGCGCGCCGCCACCTTTTGCCTCGCGCCGTCGGGCTGGGGCTGGGGCTGGCGCATCACGCTCACCCTGCTGACGCAGTGTGTGCCCGTCATCATCCAGCCGAACGTGACGCAGCCGTTCGAGGAGCTGCTGCCGTACGAGGACTTCTCGCTGCGCCTCACCAAGGAGGACATCCCGGCGCTCCCCAAGCTGCTGCGCGCCGTGCCGGACGCGACCATCTGCCGGATGCAGACCAGCCTCGCCAAGCACTACCGCGCGCTGCTCTGGCAGAAGCCGCACGGGCCGCAGCACCCGAGCGCCTACGACCTGACGATGATCGCGCTCTGCCGGCGAGAGCTTCGCCCCACCACCCCGCCGCTTCCGGCCTCCTGGCACCTCACACCCCCTCCCCTCCTCGCACGCAGGCGGGCCAAGAGCTTGGCCGTCAGGCTGTCCAGATCCCCCGATACGGCGCGCGCATACCTGGCACGTCACACGCCAGAATGCGCCGATACGCTCGAGGCGGCGGGCGTCGCGTTCACCTGACAGCAGCTGTGATTTGTATAATATAATACGCGTGCGGCAGACAAGGCAGACTCTATACTTTTACAACTTTTGGAATATCTTTTCTTCGTGCGGAGAGAGAGAGAGAGAGAGCAGGTGTGCTTCTTAGCCCCCCGGCCCTGGATGTGCGGTTGATGACTGCACTCCAAAGTCCATTTGTCCAATCTCCAACGGCAACGCGTCCAAGTGTCCGCTCCAAGTGCAGAGAGGACAGAAGAGCCTTTTCCCGCCCTCCTAGACCTCTCTCGGTTGCCTCTTTTCCCGCCCTCCCACTCCTCTCTTGCATTATTTTTCTTGGTGTCGCGCGGCGGCGGGTGTGGTGTTTCTGCTTTCTCTATGAAACACATAGTCTATGTCTCTCTTGCTCTTCACACTCTCCTTGACCGCGACAGGACTTGAGTCTTGTCGATGTCCGTTCACCGTTGTCCCCCGACTTTGAAGTTAGATTGAAAAACAAATGGGCCCTACGCGCGAGATTGATTCTGAGACCCAACCCCTGGATAGTGGACAGCGGGCCCAGCCCCCAGCGCCCGGCGGGCCGGGAGGCGCAGCATGTGCATGTCAGCCATCGCGCCCATGCCGCATGCGATCGGCATGCAGCGCCCAGAGGCGCGGAGAGCGCGGTCGCTCTCTCACACATTCGCCCTCGCTCCCTCCCTCCTCCCTCTCCCCTCTCTCTCAGGCGCCTGGGGGACGTCGCCCTCCGACCGGCATCGACCTTCTCCCTGAGATGTGAGAACCTCAGAGACAAAGCGATCGCGGCTCAGCTGGTCTTCTTCTTCTCGTCCGAACCCATGCCCAACATGCACCACCCAGCCACCAGACACACACCTCCAAGAGGAGTGACAGGCCTGTCAGTCAGCGGAAACAGCTGAGGAGAGTGATCAGGAGAGTCTATTGCTACTCCAGAGGAAGCAGACCCCAAGAGCCTCGGGGCGCCGAGCGCGAGGGAGTAGATGCTGCCTGAGCATGAAAGGAGGGAGGGTTGGACGTCGCCACCCTCGCTCTACCGACCAGACCGATCGATTGATTGCCCGAGAAGAGGACGGAGCCGCCGGTCCACAGACAGGCCACGAGGTAGTACGGTGTGCCTCCCGCGCTGCCTTGCATTCGAGAGCTCACCGCAAGCAAGGCGACCGCGTGCAAAAGCTGATAGACGCACGCAGTCCGCCATGACTGCAAAGCACCTCGAGCCTCCAGTGAGCCATGTAGAGCATGGGCGCCTGATTCGAAATCACCAAACCTGCACGGGGGCCACTCTCTCTATATGCCGCCACACGGCCACACGGACGGCACACCTAACGCCCCTGCAGCGATGGCGCTCGCTCCCAGCGCAGCAGCGCAGCGCCGAACCGTGGTGGCTGCCGCGGCTTCGGCGGCAGCCACGCCCGCAGGATTCCGACTGCTCGCCTGTTGCATAATAGGCGGCACTGCGGGCAACATGGATCGAGGCCCAGCGCCTTGGCCGTGAGTTGCGGTCTCACCGATGTGGAATAGCGCCGCACTGCGTCGCGTATGCGGTTGGGAATGAAATCGACGTACGCGCCGACCGCAGTGCCGTCGTCGCGGAACGCATACGGTGGCGGCGATGCCGAGCCTCCGTCGACAACGGGCATTGTATTGCTCACGGGATGGACGTCCATCCGGAAGCTTGTTTTCTTCTTTAAATCTTTATAAAGAAAAGGGGAAAGCGGACGCGGACGCGGCCTCCGCTGGGTGTGCGCTTCTTAGCTCCCCGGCCCTGGATGTGAGGCTGATGACTGCACTCCAAGTGCTCCAAGTGCTCGCAGCCAGGCTAGGGCTGGGTCGAGGACAGACACGTCCCCACCTTTGCAGGATTTTGCAAAAGCGAGGTGGGGAGGGGGGGCATCATTGAGCTGGCCTCGAATACGAAAATTCTTTTGGCTCGGCGGCCGCGCCTCTCTTGCTTGTGCGCTTTTCATGGTCGAGCCGAGTGGCGCGAGAGTGAGCGTGATTTCTTTTGTCTGTCAGGACTCTAAGTTTCTGTCAGGACTCTCAAGTTTGCTTGTCAGGACTCTCAAGTTTGCGTCAGGACTGCCCCATCAGGACGATTCCGCAGAGGGCGCGCACGGTCGAAAGGGGGGCTGGGCGTCTATCATTCACTGCTGGGGGGGAGGGGAAGGAGGGTTGCAGTGAAGGAAGGTGGAGGTCTCGTCGGAGGCACTTGTGAGCACTGTGAAGACCGTGCGCCGTCAGGACCCCGCCAGGACTCTGTCAGGACTCTGTCAGGACTCTGTCAGGACTCTGTCAGGACTCTGTCAGGACTCTGTCAGGACTCTGTCAGGACTCTGTCAGGACTCTGTCAGGACTCTGTCAGGACTGTCAGGACAGTCGCGGGAGCTCCACAAACCAGGTTACCCCGTTATGCCTGCCGAGGGGCGGTGGCCCATCGGCCGGCGGGGTGGAGCTCCGATCTTGCTGCTTGCCCATCGATGCTGCGTCGGCCTTGCGGCCGGGCTATATGCGCTCGAAGGGGAGGGTGGGCGTAGACGCGGTGGCGTCCAAGCCCGGTGTTGCCAAAGAAGTGCTGCCGCTCACGCGACGGATCTTACGCTTACGTTTGCTCAAAGGGGGGGATTGGGGTGAATGTGACACTCTGTCGCACTCACGGACTGAAGTCAGGAGCCTGTTGGCGGCCCGAGACTGAACGACAGAGCCTCTCTCCGAGGCTCTCACACGACTCTCGTGCGGCGTTCAGAGAGTTCGTTACACACAATGGGAGGGGACCGCCCGTCCTCCTCAATTCGATTATCGGGACCCCCGGGGGTCGTTACATGCGCCTCGTCACTCCGTTGCGAGCTCCATTTGCGGCTCCAATCGCCCCAAGTCACCGCGGAGAACTGTCCAAAAACCCTCCTCCGCGACACAGGCTATTGTTGTGGGGTGCGGGCTGCGTCGTTAGGCGTATGCGTGCACATGGTGCTGTATGCTGTGTGTGCAGGCAGTGGCGTGTGGGAGTTCGGAGTATGCCCGGAGGGCGGGGCTCGAGGCACGAGGGGCGGGGTGGTTTATAGGGCGACTAGACTTCGCACTGGGAGTCGCCCTCCCAGCTCTGAAGAAAAGTCTGCGGAATGCAGAGTTGGATGTGGGTGCAGGGTGGGGATCGAGCGCTTTTCGCCGCGCCGTGTACAGTAATGGAGTAAAGGCGCGATATCCGCGTATTAAAACACAGACGAAACACGAGCGCACTTTTTTGCTATAACTGAACACGGCGGGATCACACACGGCGGGGGTGCCTGGGCCGCTGTGGAGCGATGTGGTCAGGGGAACGACGAGACACAAATGGGACAAGCGTCAGCGGATCAAGGATCAGCACGGCGAGCGTGAGATACAATTCGCCGACGTGGATGATCACAACGTGGTGACAGACAAAGACCGTCATGGGAGCGCGGGTGCGGCAGCAGGCGGGGGTGCCACACGGAGCGCACCACGAGAGGATCATGCGGGGAGAGGCGGGGAGAGAGACCCCGGGCGCCGCCACGAGGAGCGAACTCAGGGGCTGCCTCGTATGTAAGGCCGCGAGGGACGCGGCGAGGAGGGCGGCACTAAAGCGGGACCCGCTGTGCCCGATCGTGCGGAAAGCCGCGCAGCAATGGACCGAGGAAGATGAGAACCCGCCTAGAGCGACAATGGCGCACTTGCTTAGCGGCGCCTGCCCGGGGAATAGGGAGCAGGCCAGATGGTTCCTCAGAGTAGCGCGAGCGCAGACGGGGACGGCGATCAGCAAAGTAGCGCAGGCGGCACCCGACTCCAAGGATACGCTGAAGACGCTGAGAATAGCGCATGTCGCTGCGCTGAAGGGCTCACGCTATAGGGTGCTGGATGAGGACGGGTACGATGCACTAGCACCAGCCGTCGGGGGGGTGTTGCCGGCGCTGGTAGATGATCTCCCGGAGAAGAGTCGGAGGGACCTTGGCGCCGGGGTCACGAGGAACTTGCAAGTCGTGGCCGAGGCGGCGACGGGAGCGGTGCAGAGGTGGATCCAGCTCAATGATGAGGCTACGGCGCGCATAATGAAGAGAGAGGAACACATCGAGTGGCTGAGGAAGCTCTTCGCTGGGTGGAAGGAGGCCCGGCCAGCCTTGAGGGAGTCGCGGAGGAGGAGGGATAATGGAGGTAACGTGGGAACAGGCCAACAGCCAGTGGGACGAACGAGGGCCGCGACGGCGGCTCAAGCGGGAGGGAGCGGAGACGGTGGGCAGAGAGCGAAGTGGGTGAGACTGATGATGCTCCTTCGACTTAGGGAGCGGTTCAGATGCTGGGCGGGCTTCAGGCTGGTGCTCACGCGAACAGGAATCGACGCGATGTGCAAAGCATACAAGAAGGGGAGAGGGAAGAGGAGAGACGCCGGTGAGGACGAAGCAGAAACTAGCGCAGACGAGAGCAGGGCAGACCCGGGGACTGGGGAGCCGGAGCAGACGGCATCGGCCGCCGAGGGAACGTTGGGAAGAGGCACGAGGAGGGCGGCGACTTCGACCGACTATGGAGGACCCGTCGCCAGACGACGCAGGGCAGAAGACGGTGAGGCGGAGCAGACGCGCAGGGTGAGACGAGGGAGGGAGCAGGACTTTGCGGAGATCAGCAGGAGGATGTACGAAGAGATTAGGAGCAGCAGGGACCCGAGGGACCATGTGGAAGACGGCTAGTGCTAGTCCCCCATCGGGAGGACGACCCCGGCTAGTCGCCGACCACACCCACAAAGAACCCTGCACAAAGATCGCAAGGGCGGGGGCCTGTTCCTTTTTACCCATCTCACAGTAGAGAGGTGTCCGTTTTTATTTATTTATTATAACTGAACACACGGACACGCTCACGCTGTCAGAGAGCGAGGTGTGGGAAACGCACACGGCGTCGCAATGCGTGCTCCGGCGCCTTCTAGTAAGTGGCTACAGATCACAACGCTCATCGCCAGCCTAGCCGTGGTAGTGGAGCAACCTGCTAATGGCGCCGTCCATGCCCCACATCATCCAGATGTCGCGGAAACTATCATCGGGCTACAACACCGCAACGCCGGGATTGGTGCGCAGCGTCGCCATCGGTGCCAACTCCTCCCAGGTGTTTGTGGCTGGGTCGAATCGCTCTATCATGTTGAGCGGGCGGTCCTCCTCGTCTTCCTCGTCGTTGTCTTCGTCGTCCCATGAGATCTCGCCGCCAACAGCGTACAGCTTGCCGTCCAGCACCGCCACGGCGTGTTCCTCCCGCGCCGCCGTCATCGATGCCACCGCCTCCCACGCGTTTGTCGCGGGGTCATACCTCTCCACCGAGTCGTCGTCGTACCCGCCAACAGCGTACAGCTTGCCGTCGAGCACCGCCACGCCGAAAGCTATCCGCCGCACCGCCATCGGCGCCACAGCCTCCCATGCATCCAGCGCCGGGTCGTACCGCTCCACCGAGCTGAAGTAGTCACCGTCGTACCCGCCCACAGCGTACAGCTTGCCGTCGAGCACCGCCACGGCAAAATTACACCGAGCCGTCGCCATCTGCGCCACCGCCTCCCACGCGTTCGCAGCCGGGTCGTACCGCTCCACCGAGCTGAGGTAGCTAGTGTGGCCGCCGTTGTTGTTGAAGCCTCCCACAGTGTACAGCCTGCCGTCGAGAACCGCCATGGCGTGAGAAGCCCGTGCGGTCGCCATCGGCGTCACCGCCTCCCATGCTTTCGTAGTCAGGTCGTACCGCTCCACCGAGCTGGAAGGTGCGCCGCCCTCCCTGCCGCCCGCCGCGTACAGCTTGCCATCGAGCACCGCCATACCAGGACGCGTGCGTGCCGTCGGCATCGGCGCCACAGCCTCCTCCTCCCACTCATTCGTTGACGCGTCGTACCGCTCCAGCGAGTTGACAGGCTCGCCATCGTTGTTGCGGCCACCAATCACGACCAAGCGCGGCCCCTCGCGCTTCTTCAGCGTCTCCTTCCAGCCGCGGCGCCATGCGCGGCACGTCCCCTTGGCGGCGTGCGCCTCGATCGGCAGCTGGGCGAGGATGTGCGGGGCGAGGTCCGGCGAGAGGAGGACCTCAGAGAGCACCCACTCGGGCTGCTCCACGAGCCGTGCGGCGTGCTCCTCCGCCACGCGCAGCGCGGCGTCGCTCGCGCCCGCCTGCGCCTCGATGATGGCGCACAGCTGCTCTGGCGAGAGGCCCGCGACGCGGGCGCCGATGCGGTGGGAGGCCATCGGCGCGAGCGTGGAGGCGCGTGTTTGTGTGGCAGGACATTGCGTCGCCGGTATTCTTTTTAACGTCGAGCCTGTCTGCTGTGAGAGAGAGTTCTTTTGTGTAAATTCTTTTTACATGTAACGTATTAATTTTCTTTTTTCGAGTTGATGCCGAAAAAACGCCCGTGCCTTACCTTACCTTACCTGCCCCTCACACTGTCATACTGCGACAACAAGTCGGCCTGCCTGCCTCCTATCCGAGGGGAATACCTCTTCCAAGAGGATGCGGCACGTCGCAACCAAGATTGCCTTCCTCCGGGAGCAAATTAAGGATGACAAGCGCGTACACATGTACCACATCCGCACCCAAGGCCAACTGGCGGACATCATGACCAAGCCGCTGGTGGCAAGTGTCTTTCTTCCATCCGCTCGTCGCTTTCGCCCTCGGGTAGTTAGCTGGGGGGCACTGGTGATCCCCAAACGGGCACTAGCAGCACCAACAGCCGAGCCACGGCATGTCGGCGCTGAGGGGGTGATCTGCGCGAGTTGCGGATACACCCTGGTCCCCCAGGTGTGAACGTCACGTGTGAACAGTCTCAGTAGCCACTGTGAGTCTCCCGTGACAGCCGTAGTGTCTGTGAGTAGCGGGGGAGCGAGTAGATAGCCGAACGGGGGTTTTCCCCGACCTCCCCGAGGTCGGCCAGCGACCTCCGAGAGGTCTTGCGCCGCTGCACCCGCCGGGTTTTGCGAGCCCGGAAACGCTGAAAAGTAGGCTAGTAAGCGGGTGTTCTGTGTGGCTTGAGTAGCGATCAAAGTTCTAAAACCGCCCGGAGGTGCTGTCACTCCGTAGAACGAACTAAGTAAACCTCACCGAGGTCGCCACTCAACCTCCCGGAGGTCATACCGGCGCACGCATTGGGCGTCGCCGAGAGCTCCCAAAGCTGACCTGTGTGGCTGCTTGTGCT